TCTCTTTCTTTCTGGCAAGCGCACACGCCCTATAGCAAAAACCTCTCCAAAAAAAAGATGTAGAAGGTAGCAAATTCTTGTCTTGAATAGTACATAGATAAATGATATTGTTAAGAGTAGATGTTTAAGAAATAAGGGCCTAAGCGTATTAGAGGAATATGATTTTTAACCAAAGAGGTTTCTTCTGAAAAGAGACCTGAGAGTGGGGTGAAAGGAAGGCAACTTCAACTTTTTATGTGGCCCTCTATATTTGAATATTTATTTCTGTGTACTTACGATCACTTTTTGAAAAACAACTTTTTGAGAGTTTTTTTTTTGTTGTTGTTGTTATAGGCACATGTGCTCGCCAGAAGGACAGAGAGAAACCGAGAGACAGAAAGCGAGAACTCACCCCCTGGGGGGATGTCCATGCCGCAATCCCTTCTCCTCCCTTCTCCTCTAGGGATCTTGGGCACACACGCACATGCGCCCAGTGTGAGTTTAAGCCACTGAGTCCGGGACTCGAACCACAGTCACCTACATGGGAGTCCAGCAACATAGCCATTATGCCAACTGCTGGTCCCAACAACGTTTTTTTATATAATCAACTCGAACTACCTGAGAGGTCATTTAGCACAGAGCTTTCATTTTAGAGCCTAAAACCGAGCCCAAGCCAGTTAAATTATTTGTTGGGGGTCACATGTTTAGTATAGAGTTGAGAGGTTAGAATTCAGGTCTCTTTAATTCCAGTTTGTTTGTCATACAACAGACACATAGCCCGGGAAGGAAGTAAGGGCAGGGTTACAGGCCACACTCACTGCCATGTTCACTGCCTTTGCCATGGTGTTAAGGTCTACACTTCTTGTTGCACTCATTTAGTCAGTCCAGTCAGCAAGTACCTGAGTTCCTACAATGCATCAAGCCTCCTCAAAGTGGGGAGGTTACGCTTCCTGTTACAGAGCCCTGCTGCTAGAACATTTTTATCTAGAGCTCACTCAGTGCCACTGAACCTATGCTTAAAAGAAGCTTCTTAGAGTCTCATTTATTAGTTGAGCATGGATTTATAATCAAGGCCGAGTTATTTATATCTTTTAATAAAGGCTGAATTACATTTCATTAGGGCTAAGGATTTATGTAATGCATTTTCCTTGGCTACTATCTGGTCTACTTTCCTTACTATAGAACTACAGTTCTCTGAAATCTCAATCTCAGTACTCCATTTGGGATACTATGAAGACAAGTGTTTTGAGACTATAAAGTTCTCTTCATTAACTGTATGATCACCAAGTAAATATATTAGTGGCCAATTGTGACAGTGAGAATATAAGCCTTCAGAAACTTGTAGAAATCTTGGAGCCAACTTTAA